CCTGTAGGTGGGAAAGTCTCTTGTGATTAAGTGCCTTGTAAAGCATTTTACTCACCAGAATTTGCCTGAAGTTCGAGGACCTATTACCATTGTAACAGGTTCGAGGACCTATTACCATTGTTCATTGCTTGTTTCGTTTTCTTAGCTTTGGATTTTGTTCCTGTTCTCATGTTAGGCTGGTCATGGTTTTAGCGAAGAAAATACGGATACAATTTGTGGAGTGCCCAAATGATATCAATGGGATGATAGATTGTGCAAAGGTTGCTGATTTAGCTCTACTTCTCATAGACGGGAGTTATGGTTTTGAGATGGTGAGACACCATTAACCGTTATTTTTCTGTAGCTTTCTCCCTTTTTTTTTTTCATAGCTAGTGCTTTATCTAGTTTGCCCTGGATAATGTGGTATAAGAATCTTTTTTTTATAGACAATATTACTGTTTGGCGTATTTTGGTAATATACATTTTGTAGTGATATCTTTCTATCAAGAAAGATATGATAACTAAACCTCTCTTTTAATCTGTTTGACCGGCAGGAAACCTTTGAATTTCTCAATATTATGCAAGTGCATGGATTTCCTAAAGTTATGGGGGTTCTCACTCACTTGGATGAGTTCAAGGATGTAAAGAAGCTGAGGAAAACAAAATCACGTCTCAAGCATCGGTTTTGGACCGAAATATATGCTGGAGCAAAATTGTTTTATTTATCTGGTCTCAATAATGGGAAGTAAGTATCTACATTGATAACTTCACCAACCTGGATGAAATGTGCAATAAGCGTGTGAGGTTCACCTTTGATTTATCCTTTATTGGCAGGTATACGCAGCGTGAAGTTCACAACCTCTCCCGCTTTATATCTGTTATCAAGTTTCATCCATTGACGTGGCGAACATCACATCCATATGTGTTGGCTGATCGTTTGGAAGATGTTACCCCTCCCGAGAAAGTTCAGATGGATAAGAAATGCGATCGAAATATCACCTTGTATGGCTACCTACGTGGTTGTAACTTGAAAAAAGAGATGAAGGTATGGTATCAGATGTTTCGCCATTATTGTCCTTAAATACTGGTTCATCTTAGCCCTTTGAATTTTCAAAGGCCTGAATCCTTGAGCAGTTTGTTTGTTTACCTGTACTTTCTGTAGCGCAAAATACTCAATTTCCTGGAAAAAGACCAATTTTTAAATCCAGCTTAGAGATGAGCTGATTTGATTTCAAGTTGATATTATCTCAATGGCTTTCCTTGCTGGTGTTGGTCCATAGATTCTTGGCGATTCACATGTTACTGCATTTAGAACTAGATTTTGCATCACGAAAACAGAAATAACGTGTTCTATTTACATGTAGCTCGTTTCCATGTGAAGTTGTTAGATGCAGAGCATTAATTTGTATACCCTTTGCTACGTATTGACATTTCCTCAGCCTCTTGATCTAAATGAATGCTTTTTTGTGCATAATGTTATCTTAACTGTTGTAGTTGACCTTTCTTTTTTTGTTTAACATGCATCTGATATAATGTCTTATGATTTTCAGGTTCATATTGCTGGAGTTGGTGACTTCAGTTTAGCAGGGGTGACTGCCTTATCTGATCCTTGTCCTTTACCCTCAGCRGCCAAGAAGAAGGGGCTGAGGGACAAGGAAAAGCTTTTCRARGCTCCWATGTCCGGGATTGGAGAWCTTWTGTATGACAAAGATGCTGTTTACATCAACATAAATGATCACCTTGTTCAGTTCTCTAAAGCTGATGATGGAAAGGGAGAACCTACTAATAAAGGTTATTTACTGGGTTTTGCAAGTTTGATTGCCACATGCTTGTTCTATATTTATCTGCAGTAGCCTCTTTCAAGTGTCTTGCTCATTTCGTGTTTTATCTCAGTAAAGAACTTCTATGTATTTAGAATTTGGTTTACATCATTCTGTAGGATAGAAGAGTAATAATATCCTCTCATTTTTTTTTTGTAGCTCTAGGATCTCTGATTATGGCGTTTTTTTTCTTGGCAGGAAAGGGCAGGGATGTTGGTGAAGATTTGGTAAAGTCGTTGCAGAACACAAAATATTCTGTTGATGAGAAATTAGAGAAGACGTTCATTAATTTGTTTGGCAAAAAGACTAGTGCCAGTTCAGAAAAAAAACTTGTGGCTGAAGATGAGCTGGAAGGTTCTGACACAGAGTCATCACATGAGTCTGAATCTGGCGATGATGCGGAAGATGATGTAGAAAATAACGACAGTAAAATAAAGCAGAAAACTGAGATCCATGGTGGAAGGTTGAGGAGGAGAGCTATCTTCAAGGATGAAGTTGGTGACAGTGATGCAACGGTAATCTCTTTGTATGATCTGATCTATTGTAATCCTTCTCTATACTATTTCAGTCACATCTTCAGTTTGATAATACTGGTGACTATGAGGTCAAGAGTTAGTGATTGTGAATCTTGCTGTCCTGTTTTTTTTTTTTTTWTTATGTGTATTCTTGTTGCTTCAATCACCATTTTTGTCACACAATCTGGAAAGAAATGGTGAATAGTGGAAGTAGTTAAAGTCAATCGCAATTGTAGTGGGATCCCCTGTAGTAAAATTTTTTTTGAGAAGCAGTATTCATTTGAAGTGGACTGGTTATATTTAAAACCAGATGATGTTTCCCATGACTCTTTGAGATTTACTGTTTGTCATTCCTGGCTGTGTGACGCAGGGCTC